GCACGTTCATATTCACACTTCATATTGCAAGCCAGAATACGCACTGCAACTCTTAAGCCATGCGAAATATGTAAGCCGACCTGATCGCAGTTCGTATTCGACTTAAGAAATTTTCTAAGTATCGAATATATGCCGATCTCATTTGTTTATTCGTTCAATACTTAGAAATTTAAATCGCACAAACTTAAGCCGATATCGCATCGCAGTTGTGTTCAGATTCTCAACTCAACAAAAATGCTTAGATTCTTAAAACTCTTCATTAATTTAAGCCAGAACGGCACATGATTACATAGTACAAAAACAACAAGAATATTAAAAGGCTAGTCTTCGGCTTCCTCCTGGATCTTTTTCTCTTCCTTTTCGGCCTCTTGGCTGCCAACATGATCGGCATCGTTAACGCCGTCATGATCGACTTCTAGCTCTTTTCCCTGGTCGGCTCCTTCTGGAGCCTTAGCCGCATCGAACTGAGTGTCACTGGAAACTTCAAGGAACACTTCCGCCTCTTGAACTTGAAGTTCGTCCGGCGTGAATCTGACTTCTTCGAAGGCCTCCAGTTGTGCCTTACTCTCGGCAATCAGATTCTCGATATTCTCCTCCACCAGGACCGGAAAGCTGTAACCTTGCTTACGAACGATCTCAAGTGCTTTTTTAGCCCCGACCCATTGAGCAGCCGTCAAAATCAACTCGTGGGCTCTCGCCTTACGCGCGAGTGACTCCTTCACCTTTGCGACTAAACTTGCATAATGGTTGTTCACTGCAATCGTCGCGCGCTTTGCTACTTCTTGCATGAAGGCAAGTTTCTCTTCAGCCGCAGCTTTCAGTTCGGCCTCCAGCTTCTTCTGAGAATCGGCCCTCTCTTTCTGAATCTTTTTTGCCATTCGATTGAGCAGTTTGCTCTTCTCCGCATCACCGGCTCGAAGTTTCTCCAGCTCTTCAGCAGAGCCGCGGAGCGCGGCCTCCACTGCAGTTTTCTTCTGCTCGGCTTCGAGATTTCCCTGGAGTCTCACCCTTTTGGCCTCTTCAGCAAGGCACTTCTTCGCATCCCGGTCATATTCACGCATCACGGTTAATGTTGTGCTCAGTGCCTGCACGATAGAATGTTAATATTCGAAATTACTAACTCGAAGAATTCACAAACAAGCACGTAATGTTTCTTTACCTTGGCTTGGTCGTGCGCGAAGCGTGCTATTTCTTCACTGCGGATATAGCCACGCGGATCTGTTGGCATGCCCGATGGATGGTCCCTTAACTTGAGGAAGTAATCGAGGCACGATACAGAGTCGTGCACTATTGGGCCTTCACCGTGATACTCATAAGAGAACCCAAACGGGCGTAGTTTTCTCTCAGCCCGAGACCTCTTCGACGTCCGCGGCTCTTCAGGAGATCCTTCCGAACTTCGCTTCTTTGATAGCGACGGACTGCCATCTCTACCTTCGAACTCACTCCCCTCTTCGGCTTTCTTCTTAGCCTTCTCAGCTTTTCTGGCTGCCCTCTTATCGGCCATTTTCTTGGCCTTGGCTGCATCCTGCTCAGTTTTCTGGTCGGTCGTTTTCCTTGCTTGGGCTATTATCGGCTTCTTTGGCAATTGGAGACCCGAGGACAGACTCCAGATCGGCCGACAAATCCTTGAAAGTGACAGACTTCATTTTTTCTTGACGGCGGGAGTATCGTTCAAGCGCAGCTGATGAATAGTCAAAGTTAGATCGAATGGGGAATCGTCAAATACCAAACAGGCTTCTGGCAAATTAAACTAACCTCTGGTCTTGATAATTTTTTCTTCCATGATCTCAGGCCACGTTATCGCAGCAATCCTCGAGAATCGTTCGGCAATGTTGTAAATATCCACTGGATCGTCGACGATAGGGAGATGTCTGTTTCCTGTAAAAAAAGAGAGAGTCAGTTGACGATGAGAAGTAATTCGCAGCTCTTATATATCAGGTCGGGTAGATTTTCTACCCATGACCTCCGTCCATTTCGTCCGTATCGGCACATCCCTATCAACGATGGAAGACTCGTTGATCAAAACAAAGAAGTATCTGTCTCTCCAGTCATTGATCTTCGTTTTATGGCCACCAGTGACAATATTAAATTTGCTCTTCATACTGGTGTAGTACGGCCCCCTATTCCGCAACTTCTCTTTTGTCCTTCTGGTGTTAGTCATCGCGTCAAACGCAGCACGACTCAACGGAATTCTATGCTTAATCGACATCACCAGCATACGTGGCGGATGGTAGAATGGGAGAACTGAGAGATCGGCATCTCTTTGTGATCGACAAATTCGATCAGGAGTCTCGGGAGTGGAAACCACAGATGAAACTCTCTGAAGAAACACTCGTAGATGCAGAACCACCCTGGTGGCGCATCCCATGGTCGCTCAGATGGGCTCGGCACCATAAACACTACTTCAGGACCGATGTCGCACTCCTCTTTCAAAGAAACCAACGATTCCATCGTCGATTTGGTCGGTATTATCCCCAGGGGATTGTCGTAGATCGGTCTCATGACTGGCTCCCCTCTCTTCCGTTTAACTTTCTTGACTGGAGGATTCAGATCGATTACGCCGAACTGATTCACCTCATCTTCAACGATAAGTGTGTTCAGCTCGTCCGAGATATCCATTTCATTCGATCCACCTGTACGTCTTCCTCATCTCTTAGCTGCGGAATCAAGAACGGTTTCCTGGTCGACGCCTCTCCACTCCCTAAAATAGCCCCGACCTGATCGGCGTGGAAGCGCTCGGCTGCTGCTCTTTGGTTTTCCTCCCTGACTCGCTCCTGAAAAGCCCGATCCAACGCGGACAACTCACTAGCATTAGAAGACCGATCTGAATCTGATTCTTCAACGATGACCTCCTTTCCTTTCGATCTGTCTCTTACGGCCTGGTCGTCTTTCTCCATCTGAAGAAACTCCTCTAGAGAAATACCGATCTCGTCGGCTTTCTCCTTAGCCGATACGATCACTCTCGACTCTGGTCGGCTCTCACAGATCTTCACACACTTGCTCATATCTGACTATCACGACAGTTTTCCACTTAATCGGAGAAATCAAAGGCGGCCCTCGGAACAAAACGCGGTGGAGGTCTGATCGGAAAGATTTCTAGCTAAAATAAATGAAGAACAAAGAAGAGAGAGGAGAGCAAACCTGATTTTGACAGAGTTTCGCTAGAGATGCAGAAGTGAAGAAATGGAAGCCGAGTCCCTCCTATTTATAGAAAGGTCTGGACGGTTATCGAGAGTCATCATGAGCTCGGCGACCTTTCACATTTCTTATATTCTTTTTTAATCGGCCTCTTCATCTTCCCCTACTAGGGTTTGACACGTGTCAACCCTAGTTCTGCATGCACGGACCTGGGCCTAGCCTACGTCATCTTTTGGGCGGGAATTTTTCGCGCCTAGAATCACAATCTGGCCATCATTACCACGCCGATCAGAAATTCCAGGTAATAATTCCATTTTTTTTTTCTCTTTTTATAGCCGACCAGAATGCATACTAAGCAACACAACATGAAGTTCACCAAGTAACGTTCCCTCACTTGCCAAACTAGGGGGAGACTTACTGTTAGAGATGAGATCTGTACCGACTCTAACAAGCCCGATATGAATTCTGGTCGGCCCGTCTAACAAGTTTCAGGTCGGCGACATAAAAGGAAATTTTCCATTTATCGAGCGACCCGGGAAAAAAAGGAAACTCTTTCTTGCCGACAAGAAGAGTTTCCTATTCCAAATAGGTTGAAGACCGACCTGATCGGCTATAAATACAGGAAGTCCTTGACTCCTCAATCTCACTCCTCGAGACCTAAGGCAGATTAAGCAATCTAATCGTTCTTAGTTCTCGATTTTATTTTCCATAAAGGTTTAGGTCGGCGTTCTTGTTCCGACGACCTAAACACCGTTGTATTCTATCAAGCTCCGGCTTCTTATAATAAAAAATCTCTCCTTAAACCCTCAAACCCTAGTTCTTCTATAAGTCGAACTTGAGTTTTTACAATATAGTTTTTGCTAATAACTATATTGATTTAGTGGTTATATTTATTTATTTTATGTGTATTTCAAAAAATCTAAAGTGAAAATTTTTATTATTGTTATATTACAAACAAAAAGAGTATATATTGATGCTATAAATTAAAATGATGTTTATTTTACTGATTTTAAAAATGATATTTAGTTTTATTTACTTTTGTTAATAACTATATTAATTATAGTGATAAGAAAGGAGTATATATTAATGCTACAGATTTAAATGATAATTAGTTTACTGATTCAAAAATTGTATTTAGTATTATTTAGTTTTTGCTAATAACTATATTAATATAGTGGTTCTATTTATTTATTTTATGTGTATATCAAAAAATCTTAAGTGAGAATTTTTATTATTGTTAATTTGTTATATTGCAAACAAAAGGAATATATATTGATGCTATAAATTTAATTAATTATTATTTTACTGATTCAAAAAATGATATTTTAGTTTTATTTACTTTTGTTAATAACTATATTAATTTTAGTGGTTCTATTTATTTATTTTATGTGTATTTCAAAAAATCTAAAGTGAGAATTTTTATTATTGTTTTTTTGCTGATATGATATATTTTTAAAATAGTTTGAAAAGTTGATGTTCCATACATACATTCAAATAGTAAATTTTGGTCAAAGGTTTTAAAATTTATGTATAGTGTTTTCATTTTAGATTGTAATACATGTTGACTGAAATTCTGTAACTCAACTTCATTAGTACACATAATAAATTTAAAGTTGGTACTAATCATAACTCAGAGCTAGACATTCTATAACTCAACTTCATTCTTTATGACTGTAAATTACACCCTTTATAAATTGGAATTTTCAATTTGTTCTCCTGATTATTTTCAAGATTATTACTCCCTGATTTTGTTTTTTGGTTGTGTGTGTGTGTCAAGTCAACTATGAAATATGATGAAGTTTTCGTTCCCTATTATAGAAGTTATCAAAACTCAGAACTAGACCTTCTCCACCAAGTAGAAGGAGAAACTAGGCACAGAATAACTATTGGGCCTAACGGACCAGGCCCAAATAAATGATATTGCATTCGGGTTTTTCTTCAATCTCCCTTTGATTTTCGAGAATGGGCCGATTGCAGTAGCTGCCCCAACCAAAAATGGTGGAGAGATTCTTCCCGATGAAGGCGAGCTCCGGCGGCGGCGGGAATCTCCGGCGAGAAAACCTCACTCTCCTCACCGGCCCAATTTCCTCGTATCGTTCTTCCAACGCCTTTTCCCTAACTTTTAACTTCTCCTTCTCCGTCTCCCTCTCTCTGATTCATTGTTGTCTCTACTACAGAGGCAAAACCTCTCTGCTCTTCCAATTTGCTCTCAACGTGGCGAATGCTTCTGAAAGCAACCGTGTCGTCTTCATCTGTCACCGGAAAAGAATCGAATCCAACCCTCCGTTTCTCTCTCAGGTGCCCTTTTTTCGCATCCATCGTGCTGCGTTTGAAGTTCTCTCTGAGCTTTTCTATCGGATTTTCTCAGGGAATCGATCCTTCCTCCGATGTATTCGATCGAATTCAGATGAAGTAAGAAACTACCAATTTGAAAAAACTAATTTGCTTAGCGAGAATATGATTCAATAAAACATTTTGGCTGTTTGTTTGTTGATTGTAAGGTATGTGGATGATGATGAAGGAATCAGGAAATATTTTGCTGCGTTTCATCTTCATCTTGATTTTCCAGCTGCAGTTGTAATCGACGATTTTGGTGATTACTTCACCCAATTGTATGATTTAAGAATCGTCAAATTTTACGCTTTTGAGTTAAGTAAGCAAGCAACGTTCTTGAATCTTGATGTTTCACTGACTTGAGTTCTTGGATATAGAAACTCGAAGGGGACTCTAATGAATTCACGGGCTAGAGACATGGCGATGGTGCGGACTCTTGCTCTATGCCACAATGCTATAGTCGATGCCAAGTGAGTCAAGTGAGTATAAAAATGGAGATTTTGTGTTGTCTTGGGAAAATCTTATATGTGGTCTGTTTCAGCAAGAAAGCTGCTTGTGAGCTTGTCTTAACCGAGACCAATCCTGGAGACTCCCTGAGGTCGTTGTTCATCTACAAACGATGGATCACAACCATCTTTACAATAAAAGGTTCTTGTTTTGTCTTTTACTTTTTCCGATTCATTACGACATTTGTTTGCAACGCTTAGTTTGTAAAAATCCGTTGAATGTGATGAATGAAGGTCATGGTGATGGATCGTTTCTCCTGAGAAGTAATGGTTCATCCGAGAAAATCGCCAAGTATTCGATCACGCTGCAATATCTTATCTTGGAGGAAGAGTTCTAACTGAGGAAGAGCTTACTTGCACTCTACTGAAACAGTAGGGTTTCATTTCTTTTTACTCGTTGCCTAAAGTTGTTGACGATGGAGTATCATCGCTGGGATTAAGTAGACAGGGAACAAGTTCAAGGTCCTGCTAAAAGAACCAAGTTCTAAGCTTCATCAAGATTTGTTTCTTCGTTTTTTTTTTCTCCACCTTAATAAGATTATTTGTTAAATTTCCTTTTTCTGAATGAGTTAGTAACAAGAATTTGGTAGAATCCCTAGAATCAACCTCTCTGCCGCTCTCTAATGGCGATGTCGATATCGAGATGTGATAGGAGATTCGCAAGAAAGCACATTGAAATACACATACTGGAGCATTGGATACAATTGCAGCAGGGTGTCTTTGAAGGGAAGTACTTACTTGTTCGCCGAGGATGTAACAAAACCGAAACTCCATCTGTCCTTGGCCAGATTTGATTTTGCGACAGAGAAAGCTGCACCTGTGCTGCCTCTTCCCTTCCATTGTAATGATTTTGAAGCTACATGTATTTCGGCTGTCAAAGACGAGAGGATCTCGGTGTTATTAAAACGAGATGTTACATCCAAGACTGAGATATGGGTGACAAATAAGAATTGGGATGTATAAACAATGGAACCGTTTATTCAACAGTGATGGGAGATTCGCAAGGAAGCACACTGACAAAGTGGCGAAGCAGTTTCTGGTTCTGATGTTGATGGGTGCTACTCTCTCTTTCTCTCTGTTGTTTACTTCTCATTCACTGTTAGAGGAGAAATGAACACATTTCCTAAAAGGCTTTCTCTAGCGATAACCTAAGCCCATCAAAATAAGGAGAATTACACTGATTTGTGGATTAAGAAAGATTATTTGAAGATAATATCAAATCTCCAAAGAATAAAGAAAATAAGAAGTTTTCTTTAAAGGAAAAGGAGAAATATTCCTAAATAAAAAAGGAAAATGAGGTCAAAGAAATCGACCTCGTCTTCTTATAAATAGAGAGCTTCTCATAAGTTGAAGAAGATCAGAAAACGGGATAAAAAAACCCCATCTAAAACAACCACTGTAAAATCCGAGATCTAGAGAGAATTTTCTAGATTTCCTCTACTTAAATGCTTTATTACCGAACTACGAATGGCTTAATTCCCTTGCAAGGATACATAGACAGTCTTTCTTAAAGGTCCAGCTATAATTTGATAAAAACTTCAAGCAGTTCATCTTTTCGATGACCTAATCTCCAAGCTCCAATTTGATAATCTCTAAAACCCAAACTATAAATCACTTAAACCTAGTGGTGATTATCTGGTTCAACAATTGGCGCCGTATGTGGAGAATAGAGAATTATCAAACTTGGAAAGCGGAGGTTTAAGACAGCAGAATCAATTCCGACATTAGAAATCATGCACTCTATCGCAAAACAAATCACAAAACCATTCGCCGAGATAAGCTTTACTAATGCACCAGTCTATTTACTTTAATTTACCATTGAAAACCCAAGTTTTCTCGTTGATCAACACGTATTTGCAAACTCACTGGTTTTAGCATACATGCTTTGATATAGTTCATTCTTCGCTCCCACTCAATGATTTTTTGTCATGCTATATACTTGCTCGATTTTCTTTTGAAAAAGCAAAAACTTGGTCAATATTGTCATGCTGTTCAATTGTTTAATTTAAAAATCATCTTGTTGGTATTAGAGATCTGCTCTAGTAAACAACAGTTCATGCATCTGTATTATTGAAAATCTTAAAATCGCTTCAATTGTTTAGTATACTATTACTTTATGATTTGCGATCATGCTTTTAATTATATCTCATTACTGAGTTCACCGCATGTTTTAATTAAGCTTGGCTTAATACGTCATTATTTCGAGATCTCACCTTTCTCTAGTTATTCGTCATGAGTTCAACATAGAGGAAAAGCTAATCAAATCGAGTCAAAGCCGAACTCCAAATCTCGCAAAGTAAACATCAAGCTCTTAAATTAGTAGTGCGTGAAGTTCGTCGAACGAATTTGCAAGAAGATTAAGCAGGTTTATAAAAAAAACCATGATCGTGGTGCGATGGTAGAAGAACCGGGCTGAGAAAGAAGCTTTAAAACTCTGGCCAAGACTTTGATGGATTCAAAAAAAAAAAAGGGAAAAGATACACTACCGAGTTACCTTGGCGCGTCTTAATCGTTGACGATAGCTTTAAAAGCTCGAGGGATCAATCCCAAGACTTTCGAGTACTTACTAATAACACACCATCAAGCCGATAGGAAAACGACAACAAATTCTCACAAGAACTCTGAAGTTCTGACCAAGACCTTAAAGGAACAACAGCACAAATTTCTAAGCAAAAGCTTATGCCTAACCAAAGTCAAAGCTCTTATACCAAAGGCATGCCGGGCTTAAAAGGAAATCATCTCTTCTAAAAGTCAGCTTGGCTCAAACACGACTCCGAGGTGATTAAAAGTCACCAGTCTTACTACCTAGCTATCCGAAAAAAGTCTTTAAAGACGTCATATGACAAGCTCGTCATACAAGCTCCAAAAAATCTGCTTCACCTGAAGAACTCGCTCAAGCGATACACCATGACACCCATTAGTCAAAGCTACCACGAGCTCGCACCTTATTAACGTTTCCTACTAGCTCGTCAGCTTGCGCAAATTGTTCTCTCAAGACATACATTCCCTTATCTACTTTGTTAGCTCGTCATCAAAGTATCAAGTCATTCCGCCGTCAAGAACGAGCTCCGTTATTGACGACTTCTCAAGCTTCATTAGAATTCCTACAATCGACGAACTCCGTTAACTTGTCAGCTCGCAAACGAAGTTTCAAACACCAGCTCGTACATGGGCTCCTGAAGCACCAAGAAAAATAAGCGGAAGTACGCTTCCATCACGCAAGCATCATTCAAAGCCGAGCTTCAAGTCTAGCATCAAGGAAAAACGAGTTCCCAAACTCAGAATATAAGCACATCGTCGCACCAAGGTCGCCAATATCTTCGCACAAGAAAAAAAAAGGAACGCTTAAGCTAAAGCTCACGCTAATAATCCTTATTGGCACATGACCTCGCACCAAGATTATTTTCAAAATTCCGACATGATCTCGGCATGAGATTAAAGCATCGCTCTATTTCAAGCATAAGAAATATGGAAGCAAGCACTCGAGCACCAACTTCTACAACAGCGTTGTTGCTCAAATCCTCTGCATCGATCACTAAAAAGATAAGTTTCTAGTAAATATTTGATATCCATTTTCAAAATCGCTATTACTTATTTTCAGTCCAAGTTCAAAAACATTGCTTTACTACTTGACATTGGAAAAGCATCTTCAACTTGGCAAGAGTTCTTCTTCAGCAAAGCTATTCTATGCGAATGCATTTAATATAGTCAACATTCTGGCCAAACGGCTGACTTAAAATGCAAATAAATTATGTGGCTGATCACCACCCTTTGAAGCTTTGGTTCAATTACTTCCAAAGTGGATAAGATGAAAGCCGAGGACAATACTCGCACGACCCTTGATCACACCTTTCGGGCCAAAGTGAATCCTGAAAGCTTGGTATTCGATCTCATTGTCGTTTGGTATAAGACAAGTAAATGAATCTCGCCTCCAGCAACGGCCTAAAGAATGCCCCTGCATCGCAAGTCAAAAAATCAACTTCGCAAATCCTTCGAAGTTAAGGATCACCTCGTCAACGAGCGTTTAAGCATTACATCTTTAAAAGACCATTATACGCTTTGAAAAGCACCGCTTTGCATATCTTTGCAAGATTGTCGTATGATCACTTCGATTGATTAATTTATCTAAGTCGACTAGATAAATTTATCACTTTGTCTGATTTATTTAGCAATTTATCTAGTCTATTCATCTAAATAAATTGCATAAATTTCAATGCAATAAAAGCATTCTCGCTGAAGCAGCGATGTATAACAAGAAAGAAATCTTTGTTGAAGATAGAAATTTTAGCATCTCAGATATCCAATAAAATGCAACACTCTGCATCCACCGAAGTCCGATTTCCTCTACTTAAATGTTTTGTTACTGAACTACGAATGGCTTGATCTCTTTGCAAGGATACGTAGGCAGCTTTTCTTAAAGGTCCAGCTATTACTTGATAAAAACTTCAAGCAGTTCATCTTTTCGATGACCTAATATCCAAACTCCAATTTGATAATTTCTAAAATCCAAACCGTAAATCACTTAAACCTAGTGATGATTTTCTGGTTCAACATTCACGTTTATGTGATTTTTTCGTCACTCCACATAGTTTCAGAGTCATCCTCATGCACACAATTCTTATATATTTCTCATGCATAGTAAACATTTACAATGTACAAAACGAATCAATTATTATTTGTTTTTTGATTATTAAAAGAATTCAAACAAATAATTGATTAAAAGAAAAAAGAAGACTAATTTTCTTAATGATTGATTAATAGAAGAATATTTATAATTAAAAAAATTAATTATTATGTGTAGAAATTTTATAAATAATGAAGAATTTTGAAAGATCAAATTTTATAAAATAAAAGGATCATTTGTTAAATTTACTATTTCACTATATATTATAACTTGGTGTTTCCGTGCACAAGGTGCGGGGTTCGATTAAGTTTTTAAAATTTAACCATTGTTAAACTTTTTTGAAACTCTGTATGTATTAAAACAAAGTTTTCAAAACAATTATAGATGAAAAATCAGACTTTAATTAGTTTATTTATAGATGAAAAAAATCAGATTTTATAATTATTCGAAATCAAAATTAATATATTTAACAAAATATAATTTTCATGAGTATATTTTTTGTGATAAAGCAAAATATTATATATATTTTATTTTTAATATCTTTTATATTATCTGATAAAAAATTATATGTATGCTTTGTTGTTTTGTTGCATCAAACAAAACTCTCAATAAAACCGTAACTTCAAATCTTCTATGACTGTTTTTTTGGAGTTTTACTTGTGGCCATATAAATCAATTAGGTTAGTCAAAAATATTAGTAGATCAAACAATCAAATTAAAATTAGTTTTAAAAAATAATATTATCGTTTTTTGTGATTTATGCTAGTTGCCTTTTTTTAGTAAACTAAATATTCTTATGATATAAACTCGAATTTGAAAATCTAGATTAAAAAAACGAAAATTACTTTAAAAATTAGATTATATTAATTTGTTAATTTTATTAAGGGTAAATAAAGTACAAAGGTATCGACATTTAGAAAAATTATATCGATCATAAAGAATAATAAAAAAAAGCTTATCAAAGAAAT